AGAGTGTAACTTTGTCACAGTAAAGCAAAGGACACCAGACGCTGGTTTCTTTCATCTGTGACAACATGGCAACAGTTTTTGTATATTTAATCAAACACAACCATAACCGCAGCAGCGGCAGTTTACAGTGATCTGAATTATTTTAGTCATGCTAGCAGCAAGATTTCACAGATGGCACAGATGTTAGCAGGCTGGTTGGTATGTAATGTTTTTAGACTTTTCCTCAAATGCCACCAACACGTCAAAAATTTCCATTTAATAAGTAAGTAATCATTTGGAGGATTGCAATTTTTCATGTCCCTAATTCATACAACACCTCAATATGTTTGTAGATTGTGCCTCCATGAACTCATCAATGGAAGTTAAGCAATGCTGACAGCACGTACAGGTCTTCGTGTTGGACTTGGATGGTGGTTCTTTGTCAGGTTTTTATTCTTGCCACAAACTTTGGCACACTAAACAAAGATTTGATTTAACTGGAATGTAAGCATTGGTACTATGAGCATCGGTAGGTATCAGTAAGCCGTTTTCCTTTTCTTTCTCACCTAGTTTGTAATTATGCCCAATATCATTATGAGATTTTTTCTTCAATATGGCAATGGATTCTTCGATGACTTTTTCCTCTTGCAGACTCGAGAAAATCCAATCCTCTTCATCTAAAAAAATCTCTGCAGAGCTGGAGTGGTGACAGAGAAGAAAACAGGTACACACTGTCATCATCTCAACCTAAAATGGTGTAATACAATAAAACTGTATTGGAATCGGCTGTTACACTCACTCGTAAGCGTCAGTGGACGGTTTTACCAAGCTTGTCCTGACCAGACCTATTTCTCCTGTTGCTTCCTTCTTCCCCGTGAACCAATCAAAACAAGGCACCAAAAATCCCACAATCGTGATGGGATCACCAGGTGACACGCTCAGCTCGTCCGGGCCCTCAGCATCATACTCCTTTTTAGCTAGACAGGTTCCTCTGGCTAAACAGAGGAGACACTGCATGAAGATAGTCCCAAACTGTGAGAGAGGTTTCTGTAGCAATAAGTATCTCTGAAAACTGGAAAATCAACTTTTGTTGTAAACTCTATTTCCATATGTCAAACTAATGCATATTTGTCCAAATGTAATCACTGGTATACGTGGCGTATGTGTGGCCAACTGTTACATCACCAAACCCAATACATACAAAGTGTTAAGCATGCCACCTGACTGCTTTGTGTAAAGCTGGGTGAAGGGGGGGTTATTGTCTGGGGGTGCTTTTCAGGAGGGGCTTCAGCATACCGAGACATTTTGGACAATTTCATGCTCCCAACTTTGTGGGAACAGTTTGCAGATGGCTATTCCTGTTTCAAAATGACTGTGCACCAGTGCACAAAGCATGCTCCATAAATGGTGTGGAAGAACTTGACGGGCCTGCACAGAGTCCTGACCTCAATCCAACAGAACACCTTTGGGATGAATTGGAGGCGATACTGTGAGCCAGGCTCTAGTTGTAGCCCTAGTCCTAGCACAGTGACCTCAAGGCTAGACTGCAACTGATTATATGAGATAAATGAAAGTAACTGAAGTTAACATAACACAAACACTTACCAAAGTGCAGAGGGAAGTCACAGGTAGATTTCCCATCACCTACTAAAATGCTTTCTGCACAAGATTTGAGAAACCACCTGTGGACAGATGGGATTATCTGACCTCATTTACGGTGCTTCATGTTCACATCAAAGTTACTATGAGACTGCTTAAGGTCCACACGGGCCTTTATGTGGCTGTAACTCACTGATGGAAAGGGATGACTGGCTCCAGAGCAGGTCTAGGTGCAGTGCCCCGTGCTCCATCAGCCAGACAGAGAACAGTCCACCCTGAGCCTAGGAAGGGAGGCTCGAACTGGGCTATGTCTCCCTGCTCCAAGTACAGGTCTCCTCCAGAGGTTGAACTGTCAAACATCTGGCTAGCACTGCAACTGGCAAACAATGAACCTAACAACAAAGAGAGTGAGCAGGCTAAGTTTACTTATATAATGACAGTAAAACAGCAACTCCGTACACATGTATTAAAA